AATAAGGATGTTCTTGTCCCAGGCAGAAAACCCTAACCGTGTTGGGCGCAACGTTTTGGAAGTTTTGGTCCTCGGTGCTCTTCAGCTTTGTACTTGTTTTGGCTTTCAAACTTTTTTCATCTGAGCGTCACTGGTTGGTCTTGTGTGGACGAGACGCACGTCTGGCGTATTGAATTTTAAGCCTAGTACCTTTTGTTAGCTATTATTCGTGTGTTTCTTTGTCTTATATGTTCTCCCATTTATTTGTATTGTGGTCCTGTCATGTGATGTTGTCGTTTTGGTGTTGTGTTTGACGTAGCCATAAAAGCGGGAGGTTTGGCATGCCACAAAACCAGGTCCTACCCACCATTTTTTTTCTTAAAATGTCCTGTACCAAGTCAGGAAAATGGCCATTGTTATATTATAGTTCGTTTCTGTGTGTGTTACATTTTAATGTTGTGTTTTTGTTGTGTCGTTGTTCTCCTCTTATATTTGATGCGTTTCCCTCAGTTTTAGTTTGTAACCCGGATTTGTTTTTATCTTTATCGATTTATGAGTTTCGAACAGCGGTATACTACTGTTGCCTTTATTTACTTCAAATGACCAAGTCTTTTTCAGTTGTTGTCCATTCGTTTGATGTGTTTTGTCATTTGATTTTGCCATGTGATTAGGGACTTTCCGATTGAATTTTCCTCGGAGTTCAGTATTTTTGTGATTTTTATTTTTGTTTCATGTAATTATATTACAACTGTTCTGTCAAATCTCTATCAACAGCAAATAATCAAATTCTGCATTTGTTTATACCATGAATTTTTTTTAATTTCTAAACCAAATTTTCAATAAATTTCTATGACAATATCAACATCATGTACAAACACATACAAAAGATGTACAAACATACATATAACATACAAATAATGATGATAAACACCTACAGTTAGTTGGTTCTTCTCCAAAATGTGTCCATCCAATTTCACGTTTTCTTCAACGGATGTTGAACCGGAAGTTACAAACAGCTGTGAAGTTACACAATCCAAAAATGAGTCGGATCCAAATAGATATTTACAGTTGAAATTCGAATTTTCCACGCAATAAGTCGATGGGCGCCATCTGTAACCAGGTTATTTTGGTCGTATATTAAAATAAACACCTCAGGATCAATGGATTCGTTTTATTCTGATGTAATATATATAATATATATATATATATATATAATGACCCTGGAATACAAATACAAATGATCAGTACAAAAAAATATAACTCTATTCATTCTAGGTGACAATACCTAAAATACAATACTCAAATATTTCCTACTGGACAACTATGGTTTTCCGTGTTATTGACTTACAAATCTATTTACAGAGAATGTTAATTATGAGAAAAATTATTCTCATCATAAATTACACATCTTAACATTTAACATATTGAATTCTACCAAATATTCTTCTGATAGTCATTTACAGGTCATTCCATTCATATTAATAATAACATTGTATTAGTTCACACAAAGCAAAGCGTACAGTAACATAACACAATAAACTTATTAAACCAAATATTATAGCCATGCTCAAGACACATGTTAAGCACAAAAACAAACATATAAACAGAATACAAAACCTACCATGTATGAGGTACAAAGGTCCTGTATATATACAATATGGAATCTTCTACATGATATACGAACAGTTTGGTTCAAATATCTGTAATAAAAATATTAACATAACTATTGTGTTTATAATTTACGTATTAAATCATCAAATCATTTAATAGTTTAGAATATATCTTAACGTACAAATTACTATTTTATCTCTTTACTATTACTTATTTTTACTAAACTGAGTTATTCATATAATTTTATTGTTTATGACTTAAAAATACTTACAAAATGATTTATTTGACTGTGTCAATTTAGAACCGATTTAAACAATATTTAATATACTTTTATATGTTTAAATCTATTTTATACACCTTTTACTTTGAAATCATTCATTCTGGCCATTCATACAAAATCATCAAGTAGAGAAAACTGACCTGATAATAGAATCAAAGATGTCCACAAATATGAATATATCAAAGCAACAGCACACAACTATTCAAATCAAAGTATAAGTAAATTCTGACTTAACTATAGAATTTCCCTCCAAAATGACCATATGAAGAAATTGGCCAATTATCACAAAGAAGAGAAAGTTTCACAATACAAACTAGTAAAACCCAGAGAGTAAACAAATAACCAATATATCAAAACTCACTGAGCCATGAAAAAATCATACAATGAACATAACCACTGAAGCATGACAAGAAACTACCCAATAAGTACTTAGAATTAAAAATATTACACTCATCAAATATATAGTATCACAATATGTAAAGGTTCGACAATACTTGGTCATTTTTTATGAAGATTTAAAGCCCAAGGCGTAGCCGAGGTTTTTAAATGTTCATAAAACATGACCAAGTATTGTCTGACCAATTTAGAACATATTCACACTTTCGAGTGACCTTACAAAATTATCCTTTCCCATTGTAATATTCAAACCTTGATAAGAATTCACTTTTTATAATGAAGTGTTAACTAGGTTAACAAAAGGAATGTATAACATAGGTAATGATCATTTCAGTGGATGGAATGAAATAGTACTAACATAGTTTTGTGAGGACAAAAAGGATAAATTGTTCAAACATTGAGTTTTTCTTCTGCTTCAGGTAAAATTTAATACTTTTATACCTTAAATTTCTTGATTTTAAAAAGCACACAATGTTATATAAATCAGCTTTTTGAAATTTGTATATTTTTTGATAGTTATAAAACTCACTCTATATATATTTGAATTACAACCATTCAACATCAAATGCTTACTTTTTATTGGTGAATGTACATTTATTGTGTTTTTTTTCAAACAAAAATCCTTTGCTTTATATATCAGCAATCTGACATAGTTTTCTTGAAAGAAAAAAAAATAATTGACTCGAATGCCTGGTATCAAAATTGAATAAAAGATTATTTACCTACATCTTTGCCCCCATTTCATTTTTTGTTTGTTATATATATGTACCATGATAAACATTTGCAAAATTCAAAATGTTTTTTTATAATTCTATTTTCTTTCATCTTTAATCAGTAGGCTATTTTCCCAAGGAAAATGCCTCAGGGAATTGTACACTTCGTTAGGGTAGTTATTAAGAGTTCCCTTTCATAATTAATCTACAATGTAAAGCTTTTTATAGTGCATGGAAAGCCATGTACTATGAAAATAAGAAGGGAAAAAACTGACTTTTCATTGGACGAGAAGGGGTGAGTATGTACAAACAAAGTATAGTACAAAATTAAAAATATCGAAATTAACACACTACCACATGAGGAGTCTCTAACTAACAATTACTTGAGGCTGAATAAAAACTAAATACAGGTTTGGGCCAAGTAAATCCACAGTTTAATTATAATTCCAATTAGATGCAAACATAATTGATAAATATAGCCAAAGACAAAATTACATAGATCTGCAAAACTGTGGTACTCATAACAAACAAAACTACAAATTAACTAAATACTAGTAAAAAGAAACACATGCAATAAACAAAGTGGTGCGGTGGGTGGGAATGAAATGTCGTCCGAAGGCAGACGAGCACAGCGGTAATCCAACACCAGTCTGGCATGTAAAGATAAATATTGATCAAGACCCCCTTGATGCAAACGGCAGAGTTAATTTTATTTTGATTAATAATATATTAAGAATAAATACCCCATAAAAATGGACTGATCTAGATATTTGCATGGCGTTGTCAGTTTATTTTCGACTTATGAGTTTGAATGTACCTCTGGTATCTTTCGCCTCTCTCTTGAAGAATATTGTCATTTTCAAATTCTACATTGGCAATGTTGTAGTTTCGGAGCGGCTTTTTACCACAGAATACCACAGACCCCTCAAAATATACTACAGAACTACACAAGTTACAATAAAACTACCGAAATATACCACAGAAGATTAAAATTAGTTTATAAAATGCAAATCTAATAATTCGGAATTATATTATTTCTATAATTCGGGTTACACCAATGACTTGACGATTGACTGAATGAGATAAAAATTATCATAACTTTTTGTTATTTGGCATATTTTTTTTAAATTTGGAGACTTTTGAGACACTACACTAATGCATTGTAATAATGAAAATATAAAATAAACACTTAAAGTAATATTTATGGTAAAAAAAAATTTACCGCACGGTTTTCACAGTCCCTGATCAATATATGCTTTGAATATATTGAACTGATTGATAAAAAAATTCTATCATGCCACGTTCTATGCTCATTTTAACACGGGTAGGCATTATATTTGTCAACATTTAACACCTCGCTTACGCTCGGTATTAAGATAATGACAAATATAATGCCTACCCATGTTAAAAGGAGCATAGAGCATGCCATGAAAGAATTATTTCTTAAATGAATACAAAAATAAACGACCAATAGCACATGTCTTCTCCTCTTCGTTTTAATTGATTGAAAATAAGTTTTTACGACTAAAATGCATGACAACTTATTTTATATTAAGAGGAATAAAGACAATAAGGGTCAAACAACCATCGAAATTCGAGTGAGCAACAAAAAATGTCAGAAAATAAAAGAGATTAGAAACAATCTTCTCAAAATGGATTGTTACTAAGACGAGTAACACGATTCGCGCACTGTGATAGACACGAGTATTCCAGAAGGATATGTGCAATACCAGCTTCACATGTAAGAAACGACGAGTACCATTCATTCTGATGGTCAAGTAAGGTCATGAACAAGGAAATAACGAATGAATTATGACTATCATATGCACAAACTATGTTTCGGGTGCTGTTTTAAACCATTCAAAACAGTTTTAAAGCACTTGATATTAACCGTTAATATAAATAGTTTAAAGAGAAGTTAACAAATTTACAAATTTACTTAGTAAGAAAGAACTATAGATTGACACCACACAATGAAACATAATCGTTACAGTTAGCTATTTTTTTCTTTTAAAGGAACAAATTGGAATAACCTAAGAGGTACGTAAAATTAGTCTATGTCTTGTAACAAAAATATCAAGCCATATTTAAAAAAAAACTGTTGGACACTAGAATTGGGCTTAAAGAATCATCTCATGATGTTAAAATAATCATTTTAGTAATGGACTGACGATTTGTCCATTGTAACTTATTTGTTATTCTTTCCTGCTGATCATTTTACCTGTAACAATTTACAATTTTTCTATATCGACTTTAGTTTTTGCCAAAAAAAGCAAAACGAAATGGTTAAAAATTACCACTGAAGGACAATAACTACTATAAATAGTTGACTGACGATCTCGACCATGTTGACTTACTTGTGGCACTTGTCTAAGACTTGCCGATCAATTTTGACGTCAAACAAGATTAAAGCCAAAAACGCAAGAAACGCAAAAATGAATAAAAATCATAATATAAGGGCAAAAGCTCCTGTAAAAAGTTGATTTATGTTTCCACTGTGCAAATTTATTTATTGAACTTGTCTTGTTGATAATTTTTGCTATTGAAAGTTTCTCTCTTATCATTAAAATTGTCAAGATATTAGCCAAAAACTCTGCAATTTGCCAAACATTGGCATTTTGTGTAGAACATTTTTTACAATGCATTATTTAAATTGCTAGTAGTGATGTCCTTTACAATTATTCTTCAGTAACATGGGGAAGAAATCCATTGAGCAATACCAGCTTTGTAGCTATGCCATTGACAGAGACTGATGCCAAGAGTCAGGGATTTCAGAAGATCTCAGACTGTGGAGGTATAATATACTTTATAACATCTTATTTCCCATACACTTATACTATGGCAACACATAGAATATAATTAATGAAAGATACATTTCTTCAATTTAATTCACGTAGTTTCAAATGTAAGAAAAAAGTAAAATAACAAAAATACCGAACTCCGAGGAAAATTCAAAACGGAAAGTCCCTAAGCAAATGAAATGGCAACATCAAAAACTGAAACACATGAACGAATGGAGAACAACTGTCATATTCCTGACTTGATCATGTTGATACAGGGTGGATTAAACCTGGTTGTATAGCTTGCTAAACCTCTCAATTGTATGACAGTTGCATAAAATCAATTATATTGTGAACACAACAAACAGACATAATAGGTAAAAATGTCAAAAATAGGGGTACAGCAGTCAACATTGTGTTATAATCTTAATCACTACAAAAACAAGCAAATATGTCAACAAAGACAAACAAAACGGAATATAGACAAAGCACATTAGCAAAAATGAAAGACAAAACTACAAAAATTTACCATAGTACAACAACACAATGACGGAATGTACAAGTACCGAGCCACGTCAAATGGATAAAAGAAGACACCAACCAATATTTAGTTCTTTCTTATCGTATCAGTTTTTAACAGACTAGAGAAATGTAAGTCAAACAATAGCGTCTCTCAAAACAATTTCAAAGAAAGCGATAGTACAATGTAAGGTTAAAAACATTCTACATGAACTTTACAATTGTAAATGATTTTTGAAAAACATTATGTTATTTTTAATATTCATAAAAAGAAAAAAATCATTACGTTCAATATCTGACGCGAAAAGATGGTTTACATTAAAATGTAAATGCCCAAAAAATCCCAATTAGGCATTTATATTGAAACATACTAGTAAATGACGATATAGTAAATTGAATTATTTGTGGCTTGGAAGTTCCCTAGACTGAAAATGTTCTATTGTTTTAAACGTTAACATGGAAAGTCAATCTTTTTGTGCACACTTTCTCGGGAACTATGCAATAAAGTTTTTATGTTTAGCCTTTTCTTGTTTATAATTTTTGTCACATTAAAAAAATCACTCTGTAAAGTCACAGAAAATGGAAACAAATTCATTTGAGGTTGAATTCATAATCTATTTACATATGTATGTGTTACACTTAATATACTTTATAATTATCTTAACTTTGAAGACAATTTGTGATTATTACTAAAGAAAATTATTCTTTCCATAACTTGTATTTCCTTTATTTTTACTTTTTTTACCTTGATAAAGATTAAAGTTTTACATAAACAGATTCTAGTGATTTACATGGCATTCGGTATGTTAAAGACAACGATATGAATCTCATTTTGATATATGATGTGAAAGGACATATTGCTGGAATTTCTGCTGCAGTTAGTATGATACTGTATATAACCAATTTTCTTTTTAAATCAATAATTGGTGCCTGCTGCTAAACGTCTGATCGCAAACATTTTATGCCTATTCTAGGCGACCTTTTTTTTAAATCCTGAATCTGGCTAGATGGAATTTTTCATTTTTTTCTGTAGGACCTTCAACAATGTGCAAAATTATACCGGATGGTAAGCTTTAAAGGGCCCCGGCAAGAAAAAATGTAAAACAATTAAAATAGAAACACTAACGGCCTGATTTATGCTAAAAAGAATATACTAAGCACAAAAATTGCAGTTAGCAACCAACAACAACATCTGAATTACAGATTCCTGATTTTGGACAAGCACAAACAGAATGTGGCGGGTTGAACACCATAAATGTAAAAATTAGTCGGAAAGTTGTTGACTTATCATATCGGCATGAAGCACAAAAGAACTAAAATACACAAAGTACCGATCTAAGAATATTTGCAGTTACGGAAAGCTGGTTGAAAGCCAATTTCAAATAATAGATAAACATTATTTTTTTTTCGATTAAACATCAATTTAGTAGGCAATCAATAACGGATTTAGTATAAAGATGTCATACATAGTGTAAGAAAAGAATGACCTTGTGCAATGCAAGCTTTAATATTGGTTTTCGGCTTGTTTGTTGTTCGTGGAGCACAAGTGAGTTCTGTCAATGATTTCCTAATTTTTATTTTTTCCCTGATTTTTCAGGTTTCAACTAATCTTGCAAATGGATGGCCACACGCCTTTCTGAAGGGACATCCCTTTATCAAGTCCGGCAATCACCATCATATTTCTGCATATTTTGTTGATCCTGGTATGTATCTAAATGTGCTTACTAAATTCCGCTCCTTTAAAGTGCTTTCAATGGTTTTTTTATTTGGTTAAACATTTCTTATCAAAGCATACAAAATACTACCGACTACCGTTTTGCTTAAGGTGAAGGTCACCAGGAATCAATTATGCTGTATTTAATGTAGATAACTATTCAGCGTTTACTAGTGATTTAAGCACCTACAAATTACCACTAGTAAGATTATCTGCAGTGTTCTCCCCAGATATTTCATTTAGCATCCTGGTAAACAGGGAAATTTGAAGTACCATCTTGTTTCTAAAAATTATAGCATCACATCCAAAACACTATCTATAAGAAAACCAATTCAGATAGCATCACACTCAAGAAGTATAGCATCACATTACCATGATGCTAAAATGCCCTGGGGATAACACTGATTTGATGAGGGTGAAAATCACTAAAGAAGCTAAGGATAAGTAATTCAGTAGTTGTCAAATGAAATAAATATAAAATCTATCAAGTGCAAGGGATTGTATAAGTTTGTTAGTTGCATATAAGTTACCCATGTGTACCATTAAAAATCCATCTTTTTTTGTATTCTTAGTATTCTTAAGGAATAGCAATACTTCCTGACTGATTTGACAGAACACTTTTATATAACTATATATGAAAGTATAAAGATAGTTTTGTTTTTGATAAGACAAGCTTTGCGACTGAAACAATATAGTTTGTAAATTTTTCGATGCATCCATATACTTTTCTATCAAAAACTTATATGAATGACAATTATTTCTCAGTTATTTAATTGATCTCTGGAGGTATTAAATTTTGTTTGTCAGCCTAGCAATATCTAGGTGCATATATCTCTTGTGGTCATGTTGAATTTGATTATTTATCATGCTATCACATATTTATTATCATATTTATTATCTTTATAGCAATTATTTGTGCCTCTGGTAGATCTACAGCCCTTTACCATCAACAGGGTGTAGGAACGGATCTATACATTCAGAACGGAACAGATCCGATTGCTGACTCCATCAAAATACCACATCTTCGGAGTGGAATAACTTATACTCACTGGACAAAAGGAAAATGTTTTCCAACAATGGGTACGTTATTTCTATAGGAATCAAAAACGAAAAGAACAGTTTCTTGTGATCTGGTGAAGGAATTATCAAACAGATTTATACTTTTTAGGTGTAATACATTACTCTGTAAAATGAAAAGATAGGTATCCAGTGAGTCTCATTTATATCGACAAATAAATCAACAACACACACATCCAAGAACGGAAAGAAATTACAGTAAGTAAGTAAGTAAGTAAAAATCTCCGTGTCAAACATGAGCTGCAGTAGTGCTGTTTATTGTATGCATAAATATATTGCCTATATGAATTGATGTTAAATTAATCCAAACCGGAATTATTCATGGCTAATTACTACCAAATTAAAAAGAATTACGAAATAACCACTGATGCAAACTCTGAAACAACAGTCACGTTGCTTTGCTAAACTTTCATAAGTCAGCATAGCGTAGCAGTGAATACGTTACTACTGTTTCGGAGTTCGCCACTGACGATGTTCCTGAATTGTGACAGGCACATGAGTATGTTGCGGTGTAAAAGTGTGGGTTTTATTAAGATCTCAAACCTCCTCAAGTTGCTCTCGATACGTTAACTATCAAAACATGTTTGAAAAAACACACAATGAAATAAGTACAGGATAAGCACGTAACTCTTAAATATTGGTGTACTAGCTAGGTATCAAAAACGAAAAGAATAAACGATAGTGCTAATAATAAACAATGCTATTATTGTGGCAAATTTTTTGAAATAATTTTCCAACAAATTATTGGTCGGAGACTATTACTTCAATTTTAGAGGTACAAATATCAATATTGGGTATTTTTATTAATAATTTAAGTAATCTTCTCAAACACCTTCTTTAGCATTCCTAGAATAATACAAATGAGTTCTTAACAATTTCTTGATAGAAAATATCTCTAATGATTTATGATATGATAATAATAATAATAAGTTATTGTTTTAAAGTGTCACGTATTGATTAACAGTTGAACACTATGCAATTAAACATATGCAATATTTAAATAATAAAGACCAAGTCAAACAAATTGACTTATGAGACATTGTAAAAATATATTACAAATTTGTATACATATATACTAATATCCTTATCAAAATCGCATTGAACAGTTTCATCAATTGTTATGAATCAAATTAATATCACAAACAGGTCAACATTTGTTATATAACTTTGGACATAATGTAAATGTTAGCGGTAATAAGTGAAATTAGGCATTAAGCTTAAATCATAGGCATTAAGCTTAAATCCTAGGCAATAAGCTAACGCCTAGGCATTACGTTATTGCCAGAAATTTTCAGGCATTAAGCTTGTTTCCTGAAATCTGATGATGATTATTCAACCTATTGCCAGACATCATATCAGGCAATAAGTTAACGTTGTGATTTTTGATTCAGCCATGCTGGATATATGCGATCACTATGTTTTTGGAGATGGTGCAGAAAACTAAGTTTAAGACATGTCATGAAACTAATTATGTGTTTTTATGACTTGCAGAAACTTTCTACATCATTTTAATCATCAACTGCCAACTTTTGACATGTTATTTTCCCTTAAATTAAGAAAAGATTGGTCGAACAACCGTTTTATTTTAGATATACACTTGCATATAGTTCCTTTGTAAATCAAAATTAATAATGATTTACTATTTATGAAATAAATTAAAAAAGTATTTTTACATCAATTGAATCAGTTGATAACAATTTTGAAAGTATTATATTATTATCTTATGCTTGTATAAGGTTTTGTTCTATGAAATTTAGGTCAACATGTGTGTTAATATATCTAAGTTGATTCCCACACTTTTTTGAAATGGTATTACTCCAATTCTTTCCATAGGCAAGTAAGAGTCAGTATGATTATAAACTGTCATGAATTTCAAATAATTACGCTCAAAGGTGAAAGCATTAATTGGAGACAACCCCAGTCTTAATTCACCACATTTAATATATCATGACCTGTTACATAATTAAATAGGCACAATTTATTACACACCTAACTGAATACACACATTTTGACCTGACAAAAACCTACAAATGTATTATTTATTTTGATTTACACTACATTAAAATATTCTGTTAATTTTGATAGCTAGCTGACGTGGTTTTTTTTTCAAAGAAAAGACAAAAAATGTAAAAATATGTATAAAAAATGCAAGCAAATTTTATTTCACTTGTAAAATCAGTGTCATTATCATCTGACATGAGTCAATAATAAAGATCTAATTAATTAGTTACAATTATCAGAAATTTGGTTGAAACAATAAACAAAATTGCTTAACTCTTACCTGAGCATTTTCTGCAATAAAATTTATTTGTTTGTTTTACATTAATATCCCATTATATTGCTATTTAACAGTAATTGGAAATAGACAAGACAATATTTATTAAAGTCTCACCTCTTCATTTTATAAAACATACAAATAGTTAATAAAAGAATATCATAAAACATACAAGAGCCACTCTAAAAAGAGTTATGAGAGACTATCTAAAATGTATATACATTATTAACACTAAAATTAGCTATATAAAATATATCTTCGTTTCAATAAAATGTCATTGCAGATTTTGGCAGTATAAAAGTACATATTTTCATCTCTGAATAAAAATATAAATGTATCGTCATCAGACAAATGCATAAAATTAACATTAAACAGAGATGCTTGATAAAATAAATAACAACGCAAATCTTCATACACTGGACAATTCATTAATACATGTTTTTCGTCTTCAATTAAAAGATTTTCATTACAAATGCTGTTATAACAAATTCTATTTTCAACTAAAAGACCTTCATACCTTCCAGTCTCAATTTTCAAAGGAGCAGTACCACTTCTAAATTTGGCATAGGCACTCCTATATTTACCAGGTATGTTTTTTGTTAAATAATTTTCTTCACCAAATTCATTTTTGAACAGTCTGTAAGTACGTAGTTTGCTATGCTCGTTTGACATTAAATCATTTTACCATTGCTCTTAAAATCTATTAAAACAGAACATGTTTATCAATAATTAAATCAGTATTACAAAAATGTTCCATATCAACTTTTTTAAACTTTGTGTGTACTCTGAAATTCCAATTTTTCAGTCTATTATTACATATATTATTTGCCCATATAAACACCTTTTTGTTTATTCTATTATTACACATTTTCGTAAATCTACTATATGTTCTAAAAATACATGTCCATTGTTTTACAATACATGGCATCCAACCCATATCACCATATAGGGCTAAATTAGGCGTGTACTTTCCAATACCCATAAAAAACCGCATCGCCCTATTTTTAACAGCATTAATGCAAGAGTATTCTTTACTTCACCATATTGCAGCACCATATTCAATAACAGACATAACAAGAGTGTCGAAAAGCTTAGTAAAAGTAGAATATGCAAAACCACCATTTGCTTTGCATTTAGCAAATAGTAAACCTAATGATCTGCTGGCTGATTTTGCTACAATTTTCGCCATCTCATTATAATCCAAAAACTCATTTAATAATAAACCAAGATACATATACTTTGATACAATATCTAACTGGTTTTCGTTCAACATAAATTCAAAATTTGTTTGTGTCACAGATTGTATTCTAAAATGAACAATTTTTGACTTGTCCATATTTACAACTAAGTCATTACATTACACCATATACTTAAAACATCTAATATTCTTTGAAGGTCATTTTCATTTTCGGCTAATAATACCACATCATCTGCATATAATGATACACAAATCTTTTCACCATTTACATTTGTACCAATATCTAATCTCTTAATGTCATCCACTAAGTTATTTATGAAAACATTAAATAATAACGGCGATAATATGCAGCCTTGTTTTAGGCCAGAATTTACATCAAACCAATCAGTCAAATTGCCATTTATCTTGACACAAGATTGAGCATTATAATATAAAGAATGTAAAGCATTTACTTAAAACTAAAGATTCTAATTTACAAAACAGCAAATTACGATTAACCCAGTCATATGCTTTTTTAAAATCTATAAATGCACAGAATGTTGAAAGTTTCCAAAGTTTTCTTGTTTCAATAACAGTTGTTAAAGTTGATAGATGGTCTATGGTACTGCGACTCTTTCTGAAACCATTCTGTTTGTCGTTGATCACGTTAAGATCGGTAAGTTTTCCTATCAGACGAGCATTTAGGACGCCACAGTATAGTTTATACGCCACTGGTGCTAGACTTATCCCTCTATAGGACATCGGATCTCTGAGATCTGACCTGGATGACTTGGGGGTCGGTGTAATGATACATTTATTCCACATAGCTGGCACTTTACCGGAATTATAACATATATTGAAAACACGGATAAGCGCATTCAATGCTGTAGGATTTTTATATAATTTAACTGGAATATCATCAACGCCCGGAGATTTGCCACATTTTGATATTTTCACTACATTATACACTTCGCTACTGGTAATTTCACCATCTAAAATTTCATCACAAATTATATCACTATTATAATTTTCTATTTCATTACTAATACTAGTATCGCTATTTTTATTTAACATTTCTTCAAAATCACATTTCCATTTATTAATAACTATATCTGTATCTTCACATATTGATTCATCATTTAATTTAATCTCCATTGGAATAGTATTTTGACGCTCTCTCCCTACTCCGATCATGCCAATTTTTCGCCAAAATTCCTTTGGGTTTCCTTGCAAATTAATTAATTCCTCTTGCATTGAATGCCGATATTGACGTTTTGATCTTTGAACACCTCGATCAAATAGTTTTCGTTTTTGGACAAAGATATGACGAAGTTCCCTTTTCTTACTATTAAGACGACATTTATTCCAGATTTTCTCCGCTTTACAAACATCATTCCACAACATAGTAAGCTCGGAATTCCACCACGTTTTTTTTTACATTTTCTAGCTTTGTTGTTTAACGCATTACTAATTCGAATTTCTTTACTTGGTAACTTTTCGGACATTTCTGATACAAAATTTTCATACATTTTATCGATATTTTGTTGTGAAGCTTCAGATTGTTCCAACTGCAATATCACACGATTAATTTCTGTTACAACAGACTCTCCACGAAGCCAATCTTCCGGTATACTTTAAGTATCATATTTGATTTTCATAACAGTTTGATTTTTTCTTTATTTTTACTGACTTGGTCTTCAACTGAAAAATATAGGCACATATTCCATGTCAATAGTGAATGATCAGGTACTTTTTTACGAAGATCATATTTACCGGGTTCGCCAAGACTTTGAATGAAAGTATACAAAAAAATGTTCCCATATCCGTTTGTCTGAAAATCGACTATATCGCGCTCTCAAAATCGCCACACAGATAGAACAAATTACCTTGTGGGATAATGTATATACGTGTCATTAATGTTTCAATAAATTCGTGCACATTGACTGCTCTAGTTGAGTTTTCTGGTGGCAGGTAGACGACCTAAACGTAAAACATATTGGCATTACAACGTTTATCTTTAAACTGCACCCACATTATACCATCAGTATTATCATCAACGATTTCAATGTGAAATTGTCGATCAAAGTCATTACGTACCAAAAGTCCTACTCCACCCGATCCATTTTTCGCTCGAATATGGATATTCCGTCGGTTATGGCCGTACCAGCAGTAACCATCCACGTTTACAGAATTAGAACCCATCAGGTGTGTTTCGGCAATACCCAGTATATGTAGATTGCGTTGCTGAATACAAGAAGTTAAAAGACTATACTTGTCACTATTTACAGTATAGTTCCATCCGTTAATGTTCCAAAATCCTCATTCTCAGCATTATGTATTTGTACATTTAAATTTGAATACAGGTAATGTATTATTTCTTAATGAAGAATGAACACCAATTTAGATAAAACTTAGTTATTATTTTTGTTCATTTTTGTTGTTGAGAAAGTGCATTTCCAAGGCCTCTTTCTGGAAATTATTAAGCCAGAAATTGAAATATCAATATATATATATATATCATTATTTGCATCAATATTGCGAAATTCCCTACCTGTGGGCAATAACATAGAAATTTAATAGTAAGATTGGAAATGAAAAGAGAAAAAAATATTGAAAAAAGTATGGTCAGAAAGAATATCAGACTAGCTATGAATATGGCTGGATCACAACATCGACGATGCTTTGATTGTTTATCTTCCAAATACATGTGCATTCGGTGAAATATTCTTGATGAATAATATTTTTAAAATCATATTCCAAAAATTAATATAAACTTATTCAAAACATCTTAAATTTTCAATATTTTTTGTATTCATAACAGAACTAACTTTTTCTTTTTGGTATTGCTCTTTAATGGTCGAGCCAGTTTGAACTGGTCAAAATTAGTCTACTTGAGTTATGAAATTTTGCCAGTCACATCATCTTTCAATCTGTTTAATTGGATATGAAGATGTTTCTTACCAATCTTATCTTTTCACTTCTTCATCTGGATTATTAGCATTTAAGCAACAGCAAATTTCTTGAATCTTTGCGGAATATAAATTCAAGTCAAGGAAAACAAAGATCGTACATGTACATGTATACCCAATGCAAAAGGACAATGATTAGTAGTATTTGGCAAAGATTAAACTTTCAAAATCAGAAAATAAGGCAGCTATAGACTATTACAATTTAAAATGGTATGACATTTCACCAATGGAGGTTCGAAAGACTTTATGGTAACTAAAGTAAAAGAGAATGGTGAGGGAAATTTCAAAGTTTATTTTTTTCTAGAGGAACTGTATGGTATTTGGGGAAAAACACATAAAGAAATATGTCAAAGTGGCCTATTATTATTATAAGCGTAGAATTAAACAACCTAAAAATGGCTTTGCAAACATTTTCCATGATTTCATTGCACTATTTCTGCAATTTTGTGAAAATTGTAACATGATAAAGTGTATATAGGAAAGGGAGTAGTAGTAAAACCCGTTTCATCCAAAGAGTTTTAAGTAGTGGACAGGTTGATTTAATCATGTTGATCGATTTACAATCAAAGTAAGATCCAACATATATTGTCTTATGGTGTATTAAAGTCACATATTTTTTTTATATATCTAGAGCTCTTACGTCAAAAAGTGCTTTAAAGGTGGCTTATAATTTAGTTTCTGTTTTCACAATATTTCTGTGCCACATAAACAGCTATTTATTGTTCTTGGAAGCCAGTACATCTCCATCATCACATGAGGTAAATGGAAATATTCATTACACTGCATGGATGAGGAACAACGAATTAAAAGTGGTAAATTGGAATCAAATTCGTCCATATACATGATATACAAAAGAATTCAGCTCTGCACAAAGGTATTGGACGATCACCAGGTACAAATGCTAGAAAAGTTAAAACTGTGAAATAGTCTGTGCCATAGCTCCGCACCAATTGGTAACAAATAAATTTCAATACAATTTTCTATCAATATAAAAATAAGGAGATGTAGTATGATTGCCAATGAAACAACTATCCAACAAGTTTACATATATTTTAAGAGGTTTATTCAATTAGTTTTAACGTCGTTATTTTACTTATGATTTTATTTCATGTAATTGACATTCAAACATTTCATAATGTACAAAATGTATTTTAACTTTTAATAAATTTCTTTTTATTTATTCTCATTTTCATTTTAGGCATTAACATTAACATTAATGCCTGGACATAATTTTTAGGATTTAAGAACAATGCCTAACATCATTTAGGCAATAGACTTAATGCCTAGGCATTAGCTTATCGACTTACATTTCGATTAAACACAAGAAAGAGACTGAACTTTATGTCAAAATGAACATCAAGAAACAAGAACGATCAGTTATGGCACAATTTCGCTGTGGTATACTACCTTTGCGCAGTGCAACTGGGCGATTTAGAAATGAGGCTCCTGATTAACGTTTCTGCACCTTCTGCACCTTCTGCATGAAAATGAAAATGAAAAACATTTCTTACTGTACTGTAGAGCTTACAATGATATAAGACACTTGTTATTTGAATCAGTAAACCTAGTCCTATAATATAAAACTTCGTAGGTTCATATCGTTTGCATTCAACATTTTTTATCGGATATTTTTTTTTTACTATCAATGCTGAACCACGAATGTTCAGCATTGATAGTAAAAAAACAATATCCGATAAAAAACATTGAATGCAAACGATATGAACCTACGAAGTCTTATATTATAGGACTACAGTGAACCTTGATAGTAATTTTATTGATAATAGAACATTTGCAAATTGATGACACTTCATCAAACGGACAAACCGCCAAATATTTAAATTCATTTTTCTGTAAAAGGAAGGAACTTCTTTACAAGTAACAATCTCACATTGCTTATTGAAAATATGAAAATTAAGTTTAAAGTGACTTATAGGTCAAACGAGCTGAGTGTAATTTAAAATAACTATTGTATTATTATTATGTAATATTATTTATGATACACATGTCACTATAATAAATGATTTACTTACTTGCATACTATATCGAATCTAAAAATAGTCACAGTCACTCAAATGCACATATGGAAAACCAGCTCTAAGAATTTTATTTATAATATATATTACATTGTAAGCAAGGCAACGAACATATTATAAAAGATCCACGTCATTTGGACTTTGGAAGATAGTTGACTAGAGCTCGTCAGAATCGTGCCACATCTCCTTATTTTATGCTAAAAAATCGTCTTTTACTTTCTCTTTTAAATGCACTCACCAAATAGCATATGAGAAAGGGAGGGGTATATTATTATATTTATTTTTGCGAAAATAATATTGATTGATTGATCGGTGTTTTAAGGCCACTTTCAAGATTATAATGCTATTTCGTGGCGGTCAGTCTTATTGTTGGAGTAAGCCGGAATGCCCGGAGAAACCACCAACCTTCGGTAGGAAAACTGACAATCCTAGTCAATTAAGATTCGAACTCACAACCTTAGTAATGACTTGCTAGTGATACAGTAGTTCAACTACTTAGACCACTCGGCCACCGAGGCCCGCGAAAGTAAGAACAATAGAATGTAATTTAATAATAAAAACGTAAGAATATTATTTAATATTTTTGCTTGTTTCGTAGGGCTCCATTACTGGTACAACGTAAGAAAAGATATGAGTTGTGATGAATTTTATCCAATGTTCTTGTTGTATAATGACGGTAAATTAAATGCTTTTGGTTGGGGTTTCATCGGAGACTTGAATTCATCTAGATTAGAACATCCACCACATGCAGCAATATCTGTGAGTATTTTCCTTGCATTCATTCTTTTCATGTTTCAATTACTCCTATTAAAACTCTTTTAAAATGATTAGATGTCGCAAAAAGTATAAAACCGGGATTGCCTGTTTGAAATATCATATATATATATAAAGTTTCTTTATGTTGTTTTCAAATTGCTTCGTTTACTGATGAGACAAAAGTGCACTTTAAAGCATAAAAAGTATATTTTTGCTGTTTTGGTACTTATTTGATGCATATTCTATTGATTTCTAAATATTTCACTAAATAATACCCCAAAAATTGGTTGATAATAAAACTTGTTTTCGTTTGCAAGTTATAATATCCTTGGTCAAATTATAGATCATTGAATCTTGATTCATTTCGAATTGACCAGTTCAAATATATTGTGAATAATTTGATAAGACGTTCAAAGTCATTATCTTTTTTATGAAATTAACAGCAGATGCTCAGTTCCTTTTATAAAAATGCTGAATTAATACGCATGATGATGAAATCAATAGAATATGCATGATAACTTGATGGTCATTTTAACATAACAATTTAAAAATAAGCACAAAAACGACAGAATCGTTGGTTCTATAATGTTTTATTATATTACAGGCTTTCATTTATCCACCACCAGACTGTTTGTTCAACTCTGGAACATTATCTACGATGCACATCTATTTGTCCAACAACCCTGCTTTGAACAGATGCTAAGATGGAATTTACCACTGTGTTTATTAAAGATTAATTTCGCAAAATATATCGTATATGGTATTTCTTCCAAAGCTATCGGTGACGGGTCTATGTATATTTGAATTAGACGGACAAAAGTCAGGAGATTATAACATGTATTTATAAATATTGAAAAATTTAAATGGAAACATACAGTATAGTTAAATAAATTATGAGAATTATAGGTTATCGATATGGCATTTCAAAAGAGAGGGTGTTTCTCTTACTCTTACTTTGAGTTCGGTTACTCAAAAACCCTTTCCTTAAAATGTGGACATAAGCCACTAGAGACAAGAGACACAGTTCATATTCTTTATCTGATGAAATTTTTAGAATATGTCCACTGATTAAATATATTGCCATTGATTTGCCAGAACACATCTCAATCTAAATGACAGAAATGTCAACAACAAACGCTCCTTTTGAATTTTGACAATATACCGAATATGTCCAGAGTTCATTCCAGATTTTACTTATTAGTAAGTGATTACTGAACATTGAAAATTGAATGCATTTATCACTTGGCAATACTGTACCGCATCATTCTATTTTTCATTGGAGATAATGTTGTTTTCAAGTTCCATTACGTGACTAGCCTTTTTTATTCAATTACCTCCCTTTGCTGTAGATTTACAGAATTTGGAGATAAGAAAGTCTTTTTTTGGTGCAGGATCTAAAACTAACATGTCCTGGAAAACTTCTTTTAGTTTATATATACAAATATCTTCTATAAGTTTGAGGACAATTCTAATTTTCTTTAAATTGAAATATTAACACATAAGGAAACCTAAAATCATCATGTTTTTTAAAAACATATTTTGGCCGAAAAGTCCAGACTAAGATGAGATAAGAGTTATTTGACCTAAAATTCAAACCCTACGCTGTTTTCCTATATGCAGACAAACCATGAATATTATCGAAATGTATGATCTGTATATTTGTATTTTATACTTTGTCCGCCTCTGAGTCCATTATAGTGTTCGTATCAGAGGTGAAATATATAAATTTGAAGTGCATAGAATTTGCCTACAATAGACGGTTAGAAAGTAAGTCAATGAACAACCGTTTTCTGCATAAATAAGCATTCCTAATTATGAGTAGCTATCAATTAAACATGTTAAAAAGGCTATTTAAAGTCATGTCATTTCTATTAAAGGTGTTTTAGGCCATCGTATACTTGCGTTACTGCCCTATTTTGAAAAAAAAAAAACCTCAAGGATGCCAGGTTTATAAATGATATACATTGTATAGTTTATGAAAATAATAAATGACGTATTTGGGTTGTTATCCTACGAAAGGTTATTATTACCAGTTGAGCTTTTTTTCATCTGTTCAGTTTCATTTAACCTTTCAGTCAATCAAAGTTACGACTACGGTATACAAATATGGTCATCCGTAGAGACTGCAAGATGTATAAATACGCACACACGTGGGGTCGTAATTGTAACGTTAAATCTCTAGTTCTTTTATCGGGCGAGTGTTACACTCTCTGCACATTAAAATACATTAAAAAAAAATTTCTGAATGGTCTGAAGGTTGGTTCCTGAAAAGCAAGATTTTGCCCTTATTCAACATATCTCCATTTTCAAGCGGAAGACTAAAATTTCCGACCGGTCAGCCTACATTGCAAAAACTGGTGATTTGTTCCCGCATTTAATATGCATGAAATATTTGTCACTGGACATTGAGGAATCAGCAATCAATTGATATGTCTTCCTATGAAAAAAACATTGATTCTGAATAGCAAAGCATTTGTCAGTGGGAACTTAATATCAGAAAAAATAAGAAGATGTAAAACTTTAAAGGAGCTACCTGAATTGATCGAATGCAGCTAATTTTAGAATAAAGGTAAAAATATTGGCAGGTAAGCTCAGATTCTAAACATATTCACATCAGTGAACAGGAGGAAGTCTCCCAAAAAATGTTTGTTTTTCTCCTAAACATCCAATACGATTAAGGTGCAATTCTGATAATACAAAATGATTTTGTGAATGTTTATTAAAATGTGTTAAAGTCTCTTTTTGATCAAACGAGTACATACAAAGTTTGCTCGTATAATAATTACATTTATGGTGTGCTTGTTCATGTGAGAAATTTTCATATTAATACACCGTCAAAATTTCATGTTTGGTTAAATTTCTTCAAAATACTAGTCTGGTCATCTGTTTTGTATATTGCCCTTGCATACTATTTTAAACTGCTAGGTTTTCTTACATATATTCCGATGCTGTCTATCATTTGTTGTTTATTTTTATATTTATTGTCTAGCATTTATTGTTTCGAAGTTATTGGTCTTTTGTTGGGCAATGTATGACAAATATATGTTGAAAAATCTCGCCCGTAATTATAAATTATGTAATTCATTGACCGCTCCCGACATGTGTAACTTCAAGGCTTATTTTAGCGGCGATCGATTTCTTTCAAAATTGCTGCACTTTTCTTGTACCCTGGTGCTTTCGACTGGAGAACCGTCGTACACAAGCATTGCACAAGTTGGCACTCCCAGGCGGGTGGAGAGCAAGAAGTTGAACTGTGGTTTATTTTTATCAATAGTACCGCTTAAGTCGACGCTAGGGGCCGTCTTGATCTTGTTGTAGGGTATGAACGATTCTTTCATTGTTGAAGACCCTACATCAACTGCCAAGATGAAGAACAGGAATAAAAGCCCTATTCATTGATAATTTTCTATGTTTTCTATGTATTGTGTGCAATTTTGTTCCATGTACATTTACTCCATATCCTTTCATACTTCATTTTCTTTCACATTAAATTTTCATAGTTGAGTTATCTGGAATGGGAGTTGAGACATTTTATACTCCAACAGTTGGAGCATATACATGATCATCTGAGAAACAGATATTCCATAATGGACCACCAACTCATGATGGCGTTTGTAAAATTTCGAAGGGATGTCTCCAACTTAACAACTAGGAACCCGTGGTTCGATAGTGAACTTGTAAGAAAGAACACTCTATCAAGGCAATTATGTTACAAAAAGCAAGCTTTATAATATCGTACCAACTGGGAAACATATACTCCATATGCATGCGCTGCATATTTGCTGCTACATAGAAATAAAAAGTTCACAAATGAAAAGCTGATATTTTTGTTTTGTTTTAAACTGACATTCATTGTTAAATTTTAGATGTAACTCAAGATATTGGGCAAACTTAATTGTAACTCGTGTATCCTATTTTAAGTATGACGGGATAGATGAAGTCAACATAGTCATCAAACTTATTTAACAAGAGGACATAATCTTTATAGCGGAACGTGAAGTCTAAGGATAATGATTGCTTGCCTGAGAAGCACATTTCTGAATTATATGAATAAAGAAACAAGTCAGCATACAGAGGGTTACAGTTGGTTCTCATAGGAGTGCAAATTGTCTGTTGAAAATCACGTCCTTCAAATGTAACAAATATGTTGTCAGCAATAAATTAAAAAAAAAAAACAGCATCTTAATGATGTTTGTTTCAAAGAACTTTTCGATTGAATCAGAGTGTTTTTTTTTTTAACAAAGTATGATTAATCCCTCTTTCAAACAAGATATTTTTATTTGTGTTGGCCATTTTTTATACGAAACAATGCTGGGCATATTCTTTCAAGCAATCATTCAGTTTTGAATGGGGGAATGCTCGTCTAAAGGGTAGAGAAGTCAAATGTGTGTATACTGTTAAAAGAGGAAACATACTTTTGACTGTATGCATTCTTACGGATCTCTAGAATTGTTTATTATCCAAATATGATTCACATCGCCCTTAAATTAGTCGTAGCTCTGAAGCTGGCTGCTGACTTCAAAATAAATTTAAATACTTTGAAGAGTTTTCGTTGAATATTTGGCAGACATAGTAACAAAACGTTGTTTCTATAAACACTTATGTAATATTGGTATCAAGTAAAGTGAATAAAGATCAGTTCCTCGCCTTTAGTTGGAATTTCACGAATGTGATCTACTGAATTAGACTTATTACAGGGTTTTTACTAACATGAGCAACACGACGGGTGCCACATGTGATGCAGAATCTGCTTACCTACCGGAGCACCTGAGATCACCCCCATTTTTTTGGAGGGATTCGTGTCGCTTAGTCTTTTGTTTTCTATGTTGTGTTTTGTGTACTATTGTATGTCTGTTTGTCTTTTTCATTTTTAGCCACGGCGTCTTCAGTTTATTTGAAGTATGAATTTGAATGCCCCTCTGGTATCTTTCGCCTCTCTTTTCTTAATCATTTCTTTTATTTTTAAGTTAAGTTCTCAACTGACCGTGACTGTCAATTTTCTAGATGTAATTCAAGATATGAAGCAGGCCTAGTAGTTTCTGTGTATACCTTTGAAGAACAACTGGATGGATGTTCATAATGTCGTCACAAAACGTTGAATTCTAAGATAAGAGGACATCATCTATAAAGCGGGCAAATAGGTTCAAGGATAAATACAAGCTTGTTTTCATGATCATTCTTCTTGAGAAGTCCCTGTATGAAGACTATCTCAATAGAGTAAATGGGCAAGTTGGTAACGTCTTAAATGTTTAATGAAGGAAAAGTCACCCATGAAATTCCGATGTGTCTTGAATTACAAATGTTGCCATATTGTAACGTTGTAACATTGTAGAAACATTGAATGATTGAAAAGCCTTCACGATCTAACAACCAAATAGAAAAGAATAATAAAGAAAAAGGACAAAATATACTTTTTTCTTTAAGACATATCTTAGTTGCTAGAAAGTTTTGTTTTTGCTGTCTATTTGTGAAACGTCTGATCAGACCGTTGAATTTGAATCTTGATCAGTCTTTTTTCAGGTTTCTTACTCAATGCAGTAAGTCCATGTTTCAAACTGCCTCTCAAAACTCTTAGTACATTCTTTCTGTCTTTCCACTATCAAGACATTTACCTTTTTCGAACTACAATATATACATGTAGTTTTGTCGCTTTAGATTCGCGATCAACTCACTCAGTAAAGTTTTGTATTGTTGCTTAAAATATGATTTCATTCATAACTCCTTCAAACTTTTCATTATTCTATTCTGATAACATTCAGGTAAAATACTTTTTCAAAAAATTAGATCACCAGGTATTATGTTTTTGTCATAGGATTTATATACTTTGATGTCAAGTAAAAACAATTATAGAAACTTGTTTCAGTTTTAGGATAAATGTCAAGAATGAGTAGGATTTATATACTTTGTTGTCAAGTATAAACAAAAACAGAAACTTGTTTCAGTTTTAGGATAAATGTCAGGAATTAATAGGATTTTACGTAAGTGGTTGTGAAGCATAACACAATGGTAGA